CAGGCGACCTATACTTTTATCCCGTGTTTTTTGCCGGTTTGCTCGGGATGTACTGCCAGAAGGACCAGCGGCCTTAAAACAGGACAAGCTGCTCGCCGACACATACATCCTCCCCCCGGGTTGAATAATAGAAGGAGGCGGGTCACCCACTTCTCCCAGATGCTGTGAAAGGCCGCCAGCTTGTTGGGGTGTTGACTTTGACGTGCTGGTCGTGTTAGCCGGTCGTCAAACCACAGTTATGGCTCAGGGCGTGGAATCGTGTGCGGGACATGGTGGCGGCAGTGTGTTGCAAGATGCACAAATATTTTTATTACTTGATACTTACTTTATTACTTGAGCGCATGTGTGGGTGTGTATGTGCTAATGTGCAGGTGTGTGTGCCGTGCACTTGATGAGGACATATTATCAAAGGTCTTTGAACTCCAGTGTGTCAAAAGCTCAGAGATATACCAATATTAATACAGAGTTAAAGCTCACTGTTTATCTTTCTATTTCAAAGACACCTCAAACAGTGCAAATTGAAAAATAAATCCATGAGAATCAAATTGGCTCATGGGTCACACACAAGTTTTCTTAATATAAAGCCTTAAAAGTCTTTAATTGTATTAAAATAAGTTTTCTTAATAAAAGGCCTTGAGAGTTTTAGTCTTAAATTAAGTTTTCTTAATAAAAGGCTTTAAAAGTCTTAAATTGTCTTAAAATATTTTTTCTTAATATAAGGCCTTAAAAAGTCTTAATTTGTCTTGAATTAAGTTTTCATAATATAAGGCCTTTAAAAGTTCTCAATAGTCTTGATTAAATTTTCTTAATGTAAAGCCTTAAAAGTCTCAAATTAAGTTTTCTTATTATAAGGAATTAAAAGTCTTAAATTGTCTTAAATCAAGTTTTCTTGACATAAGGCCTTAAAAAGTCTTCAATTAATTCTTCTTAATATAAGGCCTTAAAAGTCTTAAATTGTCTTAGATTAAGTTTTCTCAGCATATGGCTTCAAAAAGTCTTAATTTGTCTTAAATTAAAATTTGATGGTCTTAAATATTTTATGTCACATTACCATGAAAAGTTTTTTTTAAATATAAGGTCTTAAAAAGTTTTAAATTATCTTAATTTAAGTTGTCTTAATATAAGGCCTTAAAAAGTCTTACATTTATTTTTCTTAATTTAAGGCCTTCAAAAGTCTTCAATTGTCTTACATTAAGTTTTCTCAGCATATGGCATTTACAAGTATTAAACTGTCTTAAATTAGGTTTTCCTAATATAAGGCCTTAAAATTCTTTGTCTTAAATTTAGTTTTCTTGGCATATGCCTTTTAAAGTCTTAAATTGTCTTAAATTAACTTTTGTTTATATAAGGCCTTAAAAAGTCTTTATTTGTCTTAAATTAAGTTTTTCCTAATATAAGGCCTTAAAAGTCTTAAATTGTCTTAAATTAAGGTTTTTCACCATATGACCTTAAAAAAGTCTTAAATTGTCTTAAATTAAGTTTTATTAATATAAGGCCTTAAAAGTCTTACATCGTCTTAAATTAAGTTTTCTTAATGTAAGGCCTTAAAAGTCTTAAATTGTCTTAAATTAAGTTTTCTCAGCACATGGCCTTAAAAAGGTGTGTGTGCCGTGCATTTGATGCAGACACATTATCAAGGGTCTTTGAACTCCGGTATGTCAAAAAGCTCAGAGATATACCAATATTAATACAGAGATAAAGTTCTCTCTTTTTATTTCAAAGACATATGAAACAGTGTGAATTGAAAAATAAATCCATGAGAATCAACTTGGCTCATAGGTCACACACAAGTTAAGTTTTCTTAATATAAGGCCTTAAAAGTCTTAAATTGTCTTAAATTAAGTTTTCTTAATGTAAGTCCTTAAAAAGTCTTAAATTGTCTTGAATTAGGTTTTCTTAACATAAGGCCTTAAAAGTTTCAAATTAAGTTTTCTTAAAATAAGGCCTTAAAAGTCTTAAATCTTCTTAAATTAAGTTTTCTTAAAATAAGGCCTTATAAAGTCTTAAATGAAGTTTTCTTAATATAAAGCCGTACAAGACCTAAATTGTCTTAAATTAAAATTCAATGGGTCTTAAATATTTTATGTCACATTACCATGAAAATTTCTCCGGTCTGACAGATTGAAGAAATAATTTGTGTTATTTCTCTGAATATTGTAATACATAGCATTTATGGCAGCAATGAGATTTTTTCTTTACATTAAACACATTTAACTCACCAAATTGTTGTCATTTTTAATTTCATATACGGTGGTGTTGAAAAGGTCTCAAAAAGCCTTTAATTTGACTTAGTTATATCTTTAGACACCCTGATTTTTTTTTTTTTTTTTTTTTTTTTCTTGGTTTTAGTTTGGGCTTTAAAAGTGTTGATTCAACATCATGTTCAGCCACTGCTCAGTGAAGATCAATCTTACAATAATCTACTTGTAACACTGGTCCTGTTCTGCCTGTTAGCTTCCTGTTTCGTTTTGGGACGTGCAAGCTAACATGATATGAGAGTGCCTGTGTCAGCTGCCTGCATATCTCAATTAGATACACAATAAAGTTACAGTACCCAGTGGTGCAAGAAACTAAGTACATTTACTCAAGTACTTCCACTTTATGCTATTTTATACTTCCCTTCTTTTACATTTTAGGGGCAATTGTACTTTGCCGCACTACTTTTATTAGACGGCTTTAGGCACTGGTTACTTTGCTGATTTATGTTATTAAATGTGATATATTATTATAGGTTAAGGTATCCAGCAGTTTATAAAGTAATTATTTTATATAATCATGAAGTAATTAGCTCCACCCTTTACCAGCTTCAACATTAAAGTAATGTACACATTAACCCTTTGAAACCTGGGCAAACTGGCTTTATTTTTTTTATGAACAAGTGAAGAAGGCAATGAGCAACAAAAGAAATGAATCAAAAAATAGAGAGAAATTAGTAAAAGGAGAAAATTAAAAACAAGAAAATTAGTAAAAATAAATAAATAAAAAAACAAAGAAATGACCTGGAAAGAGTGCCTAAAATTGTCATTTTGTAACATAATTTAAAAATGTAATGATAATAATAGACATATTTTTTCTCTAGCTTTCTTTTTTCCTTCCTTTTCAATAATTTTTATTAACTTTTCTTTTTTGCAGTTTAAAAGGGACATTTCTTACCAAGTTGCTCACTGCCTGTTTTTGAAAGACATCACACAAATTCACTCAGGGTTCAAATGTTTACATACTTGCAAAAAGCGCCTGAAAGCATCACAAGAAAAGTGATGTCGCTCCAGGTTTCGAAGGGTTAATGCATCAATAATTAGAATTCAGAATATATATTATTGAGAAAGTGGCCATTCTGCATAGAGTACTTTTGGTACTTTAAGTACATTTTAATACTGATACTTTTGTACTTTTACTTAAGGAAAGTTCTGAATGCAGGGTTTTTATGTGCATACATTGCTAATTTTACTTTTTAAAAAAAGTTCTTGACACACTCACAGTGCCCACGTTGCAGTGTAATCAGCTATAATGACAGTTAGACCTTCACCATGTTTATTTCTTAGTTATAAGGCAACTTCCTTCAATTGACTGATCTCAATGCTCTGAACACAGGCTTCACAGAGGTGGTGTTTACTGCGGGGCTCTTATACTAGGGGCTAAATGCTTCCTGTGCCCCCTCATGTTTTAAGAGTTCATTTATGGCAGTGTGGATCTGAATGACATGACATGGTAACATGTAGTAATTGTTCCTATCATCTGCCTCATTTGGGCTTCATTGTGTGATGGCCTGCAGCTGAGACTTCTGGGAGATATAAACAGGAAATGTAGAGTCTGAAGCTGTCTGTTACATGTGTGAGTGTTGGTTTGATGTTTGTGCTTCCACTGTGAATGACACTGCGACCGCAGCTCTCGGGACTCATGTTCATGGACAGACAAGACAAAATGACAAGAGAGCAGTTTGTACAGATGTGCATGTTGTCTGTGTGCGTGTGCTTTGTAGATTTGGGGAGTAAAAATGGAGGAGACGATAAATAGGAATGTAAAATTAACCTTTTGAGATTTAACTTGGTGATTCTCAGTCATGGTCGTGGTAAGAATGCTAGACCGTAGGCAACTGGACTTGCTGGAGTTTCTTGAAGACGTTTCACCTCCCATCCAAGAGGCTTAAGTAAGTCCATTTGCCTATGATACGGCACTTTAGACTGAGATTTAATGTGGTTTTAAGGGCTCTGGGTAACTGATGAAGGATGTGAGAGATGCTACGTCAAAACTGTTTCTCAGGACATTAATAAGGTTTGATTAATAAGTGTACAAAAAGATCACATACATGAAGTATTAGTGATTACCGAATGTGTTAGTTACTCATGGTATTCTGCAGGCATGCTTGTTTGAATGAATACATTCCTACTATTGGGGGTGAAAATGATGACATCACTGTTTTCAAGAGTGTGTATTTTTGTGTGTGTGGGTAATGGACCAGATTTGACTCCGCAGAATGACATGCACACTCAAAAAAAGACAAAAAATAACAACAATAAAAGATCAAATTACAAAGCAAAGGCAGTAAAAACCAGGACTTATCTTTGCCTTTGTCAGTGCCAGTACTGAACCCAAAGACTGGGTGCAGGAGGGAGCTGGGGGAGTGTTATTCAGCAATTAGCTCCAAATGGGGGCCTCTCATAATCAACGCTGAGCAGTGCGCATGTGATTATCATAAACTGGGAACAGCTGATGTGAGAGGCTGCTAGTGTCAGACAGTTTGCAAATTAAGCAGTTGATTTTCTACTTTCACAGCACAAAAAGACCAAAAAAAAAAAAAAAAAAACACTACATGCTACTTGCTCTAGGGATTAAAAAGGGGAGGGAGAGATGGGCTGAATCACAAAGGGGTGAAAACTGAAGTGGAATATATAAAAAAAATAGTGATGCAAAAGTTGAGGTGAAAAATAAACCAAAAAAAAAAATATTTAAAACCAAAAAAAAAAAAAGAAAAAAAAAGAAAAAGGTTGAGACCAACTTACGATTTGCCGCCGTTCAAAAAAGTGGCTTCAAAAACTAAACAGGGGGGAAACAAAAAACGTAATATTAGAAAAGAGGCCATTCTAAAAATGAAAGTATTGTTATCACAAGCATGGAGGGCAACGTATGGACATTAAGTTTAAAAAAAAAAAAAAAAAGCCAAATGATAATGCCCTTAATGTCACCAGCACATTTAACTTGTAGAATAGACTCCCACACACTGTCTAACATGCAAAATAATGATTTAAATGCCCCTCACAGGGGTCAGATTTAAGGCTCAGCTGCTTAGCCTGACGATCAGCTAGTCAAACGTCGCAGCAGCATTGAAATCATCATTTTTGCAAGTTAGACATGTACGGGAGTCTTTTCTACAAATTGTATTCTTCTCGTAACTCTCATACGCACCTGTTTGACAATAGATATGCAAAGTATTCCTTCGTTTAAAATACATTATCTCAAATCAAATTCTATGTACTAACTCACGCAGTTAAAACCTTCATAATCAGTGTTCAGTTTTCAGAAAAATATGTCGATCTACTTAATGAACTGAACTTTTATAAAATGAAATTTGTCTCAATTGATTCAAAGTTGAAACATACATATATATTTATATTTATATATTTTTTTTAAAAAAAATCAATTAAATGCACATAAATCTTTTCGACAAAGCCACCACCCAAAGATTACTACAAAACTGAACTTGGTTGCAAGGGTGTAGGTTTCATTTTAACATTTGGAGGGGTGGAGAGCAGGGACACAAACATGTGTGGGGGTTAATGGTCTTCTGCTAGACAATTTTGAACATCTTACACTTAATTTCCTGCATTTTTTGCACCAACTTCTGGCATAAATGTCCCCCACTACTTGCATGTTTTTGTTCTAAATATCAAGGGGGACGTGCCCATCCACCCCTCAAATATCTACACCTATCTTTGGTTGCTTTTTCAGGAACAAATACCTCTCGTGATTTATCATTCCCTCCAGAAAATCACGATCGCAATAAGTAACGCAAATTCAACGAAAGTCCGCAATATTTGCGGGGGCTTACAATTTTTCAAAAGTCCTGCGATTTTTCTTGCGTTTTCCGGCCGACCGGAAGTTGTCATTTGAAACGTCATCGGACGCATCATCAAATGCACTAATGGCAATGCAGTATGGAGGAACACTCTGTTTTGACATAAGAATTTGCATTTTGTTTAAATGCATACAATATGTGCTGGATGTATTAAAATGTTATGTTTACAGATGTAGCTTACATGTTGTTTTACTGTCACATTGTCTGGTTTGAGAGCTACAATATTCACTCAGGATTTTATGCAACATTATTGGTGTTTTCAAACTAATTAAATAAAACTCAAGAAGAGAAATATAAAAAAAATATTTGCAGCTGTTTGTGTAATATTCAGTATGATTATTATTAGAGTTGTACCGATACCAGTATTGGAAATGCCTCTGATACTGCCTAAAATGTGATATTGGCGAGTACAGCCTATGACCAATCCGCTACCATGTAATGCCTCATGTCATTACGCGTACGCACGCTACAGGCAAACGAAACGGAGCTGAGTTTAAAAAGCATTCTACTGTAGCCTTTAAAATGTCTTTTTTTACCAAACTGTGTGGCTGCACTTTAACCTGTGTCTTGATCTGTGTCAGCACTGGATAATAATAATATAAAAAGTTTTATGGCATTCGTTCTACTATTACGTATTTATTTCTTTATATTTTACATAGAGTTTTAAGAGTTGAGACATACAACAATTCATATCCCATCCATTTTTATTTTACGCGCTGGTATCAGATCAGTACTCAGTATCTGCAGAGACCTAAGGTTCAGGGGTGGGAATTGGTATCGGGAAGGAAAAAGTGGTATCGGTACATCTCTAATTATTATAGCAAGTGATTACATGACTTATTTTTTTGGAGGAAGTAATTGAAAAAGAAATCAGTTTTTTTCTCTTTTTGTCATTAGCCACAATTTCCCGCAAAAAAAGTCACATAAAAATGCTGCAATTTTTATCGCAATTTTTGACAAAACTGGCCGCAAATTCGATTTTTTTTTTTTTTTTGCTGTGAGATCCTGGAGGGACAGATTTATAAATGGTGCAATTAATACTTGTTTATGACACTGTTCTGGTTTCTTTACCCACCCAATGCCGCAACTGCTCCAGACAGTGGTGTTTAAATTGCATGTTTGATTTTACCTTTAAAAATAACAGCCCTAATAATCACACGTAGAGTGTGCAATTGAGCACGGTGCCAACAGTGCCACGCTTGGTGTCTGCCTGCTCAGGTGATATGTGCTAGCATGGCTAGGAATTCAGGAAAACAGGGAATTCAAATGGTCATGCACAAAAAAAGAGGGAATGGAATGGACTTAATAAATCGCCTGTAACATGGTAAATATCAGATGCTAGTGTCAGCTTCAATCAGAGCCTTATCAGCCTGAGGAGAATTTGTGCCCACCCCAAATCTTCCCTCCTCACCGGGGCCAGAGTAAAGGGTCATCTGCAGAACAGCGCCCCTGTAGCCTGGAGGGACACATGCTCAAGGACACTTACAGAGGACACACTTGGGGCCAAAGGGGGGTGGGGTACAGTCAGGGGGTAAACAGGGATCTTGCACTTTTTAGGGGGCCTTGGTCACCTCTGAGTAACCTAACCTGCCTTCCTGCTGTAAACCTTTGTTGCAGATTAGATGATAAGTTTTCACAGACATGTATAGCTCAGTCATAAAGCTGCAAAGTGTTAAACTCAAGACAGGAACAAACAATGTAGAGGTGTAGGCCTGACTTCAGCTCATGGCAGGCCCCTCTGCAGGCCTCCTTCCTGGGTCTATAAGCAGCTCCACAGCTCAGAACACACTGCGACTGAATGAATGAGTTTCTACATCTGCAAATAAATGATTATATCAGAATTACCAAATGCACAAATCCTGCCACACCAATGCTACAGCAATCCCAGGTGTTAATGTTCCTTTTAAAAAAAAACGCCCCCACTTGTCATTGAGGGAAAAAACATCTTGCCTGAAAAATTACATCACTCCTGAGAGATTCGCTGCAGAAAATATACTGTCTCAGCACTGCCAAAATCACAAAGAAAACAGGAAAAACACGCATCATGAGTCAATGTCAACGACTGCACATCAAGTTACAGGTGGAGGCAAAACACAGGACGAGCTTAAAAAACCTCTTAAAAACACGTTTCCAGAAAAAGGGCGACCCGTTTTGAACACAGTCCAGAAAAGACTGGAACAATCTTCCATATTTCTCTCCTCGGAAATATCACCACACTCAGATAAACAACCGAGGCAACACAGCAGCCCTGAAAAATGGAGTTGTTTTTTTTTTTTTTTGAAATGTCTCATTCGAAAAACAAAAGCAAAAATCTTGCCGTGGAAGCTACTTAAAACTAGTTTCTGCGCAGCTCAATATGCCAACACAAAATGTACGCCACTAAAGCCAACACAGTCTCAGGAATACCAGCCAGGAAAAATGCATTAAAAATAAAAACAAAAAGGTCCCAAAGAGGTTCAAAGTCGAGAAAAAAATAAAAAAAAATATAGGGGGGGGAAAAAATCTCTCGGTTAAAAATACTCACCAGGAGTTTAACACTAAAAATGAGTAAAAGTCAACGCTGTTTTTACTTGAGTAGGTAAAGATCCGTAAACGGCTCTGCAGGCTGATTGTATCACCTTGAAACCAGTGGACACGAAATGGCGTCGACTCAAACACACAACAGAAGAAAGAGACCGCCCACTGCGGCGTCCCGGTTTCTGATTGGACAGCTAAACCGCCTGTGTGGATGTACCCTTCAGGGATTGGTTCACGCGCTTGTCAGTCAGGCTTAACGAATGACGACACACGTATTCTGGACCCGATTGGTTTATCTGACAGACTGCCCACACTTCGAGCGCGACACTCTTTTCCTTTTTTCCTCCCAGCTTTGAAAAGTTGATATCCATGGTGTATTATTTTGTACACATATGTCATGATGTACACACGCTGCGTCCGAGCGCGTGCTTTGACGCTCGTGAGCAGCAGCTGGTGGTATACGGCAACAGGAAGGACTACAGTGTGGTGTAGCAATGCAGTACAATAGACTGTAACAATGAACTAATGAAACGTGATGTAGTAACAGTGCCGGATCTAACACATTGGGTGCCCTGGGCAAGCTTCCCTTGCAGCCCCCCAAAATAATAAAATAAAACACATATTAAAATATTAATAATAAAATACATATGACAAATCAACAAAAATAAACAGCTTAAGGGGGATTTATACTTGTGTGGCAGACAGCCTGCGCCATTGTCAGCATTTATACTTGTGTGGTGGTGTGTCTGTGTCACTCTGCAGTTACACCTTCAAAACACTAGTTGACAGCGGGGTTTCTGTGAAGTACTATGAAGTGTAGGTGATTCAAAACACACATTAAACACACATTAAACATGGCTTAATAGAGACAATTTCAAACACAAGTACACAAATCAGCTTCACTATAACTCGCAGCATTCACAGACAAAGCACTTGTCTTTATCTGGACACATTTTCCCCACAAATACAACATGCTAATGTTGTTAGCACAAGCCTATGGCATTTTACATTGTATAAGTTAGCCTAGCAGCTAGTGGACCTCTACTCATATTAAGCCAGGGACAACAGCAACATTTAACAACAGTAATGGTACAAAATTCAGCTCTACTACAGCTCACAAGGTTCACTGACAAAACTGTCTTAAGGCCCTGACACACCAAGCTGACGGTTGGCCGTCGGTCAAAGTCGGGCCGTCAGTGAGCGTCTGTTTCCCTAGTTTTTGCGGTGTCTCACACCGTCGGCACTTCGGCGTTGGCGGCTTTTCGACCAATTGAGCATGTTGAATCGCCGGTGGAGCTAGTCAGTGAGAGAGATCACTCTGACTGGCTGTTCAGATTTTATTTCCTCACCCCTGTAGCGAGTGAATCTGCTTGTAGTGAAACCAGGGCTAACCGGTGCTTCCTCCTCAGGCTCCACTTCACTCAGCTGCCCGACAGACCCGCTGCTTCTTCCCACTTTAACTTGAATAACAAACCGCGGCTAGCTGTGAGGCTAGCGGAGCGTTAGCCGCAGCATGACCGGAGGGAAGCACAGCCAGTTAGCCTCCGCTAGCTTCCCAGCTAGCCCCGGCTCTCCAATTGGATCCAACCGGAGCACCGAGCCCTGGTTTGTTATGCAGGTTATGTGGGAAGAAGCAGCGGGTTTGTCGGGCAGCTGAAAGAAGTGGAGCCTGCGGAGGAAACACCGGGACCGTCTGGATGTAATAGTCTGTGGAGGTGCTCGGCTGCACAGATAGGAAACCCCTCAGCTGACAGGATGTACCACTCTGTCGCTCTGCTACTTTGTTTATCACATGCATTCCTCGGACTTCCGGTTTCCTTTTTGCGTTATTTCCTTTCACGCATGCGCAGAACGTACGTGCTACTTGGCCGTTGGATGTATCTTTGTTGTGTGTTCAAATGCAACTGACACAGGGCGACGTGAGGCGACGTGAGGCGACGTAGATGACGCAACAGTTGGCTTTTGTCGCCGCTAGTTCTTTGATATCGGTTTGGTGTGTCAGCACCTTTATACTAAACATGCTAACTTTTGAGCACAAGTCTATGGCATTTTACATTGTATAAATTAGCCTAGCGCGGAGTAGAGTTTTCCTCTGCTCATATGAAGCCAGGATAAATCACACACAAGACTCAAAATGCTATTTTTGTGGAGGCTTTATTGTCTTCACAATTTAGGTTTATATTTGTTTCTTATCTGTGAAATTAAAGTAAATAAAAGCTTTGTTTCCACTGAGGGAAATGGTTTCAGCTTACAAAAATAGACAGGAGGTCTGTGTCACTACGACGTGCTGTTACATTTGTGGGGAGGTGTACGTTAGCCTCTGCGCTGATGCAGAGCCTACGGCATAGGTACGGTGTCAATTCCATGCAGAAGTATAAATTCCACCTTAGTTAACCCTTTAAAAATTGACCTGCAGAAGGCTGCAGGAGATTCTTTTCTGTCAACACAATCTCACTCCGACCTTGTAACATATTGACGTTTGGTCACAGACCTTCCATGTCCAGATACGATGTGAAAGGTACCCTGGGTGCGTTGCTTGTTAACGTTCTGGGACACCAAGTCAAGTTCTGCTTGTTCCTTTATCTTTAACCAATTGGTGAATCTCATTCAGGGCGCCCTATTTAAACTGCTCTGGCCTGCCTACTGTTGCTGCTTCCTCTGCAAGCTGCTTTGCAACCAGCCTCCACCCCAGCTCCTCCTTTTCATGCTGTGTCTGACTTATCAATGTCATTTCTGTTTGTCATTGATGCTGCTCTGTTCTGTTCCTGGGGGGTCTTTGCTGCTGCTTTCTCTGCCATAGGCTTTCCACGTAGGTGCATGGAAGAGGCTTTCTGTGTAGGGATTGTTTGTCAATCTAGAGATAAAGAGTTTGTCATGATACCAATCTAGAATTTGCCACTGTGGTACCAAGGCTTTCCACATAGGGGCATGGAAGAGGTTTTCTGCATAGGCCCGAGGAAAGGTAAAGAGGCCCCAGAACAGAGCCATACCGCCAAATAAAATAAAATAAAAATACTGCAAATGGAAATAAAGTTTTCTTTGACTAAAGCGGTCCTGACTGAACTGACCTTTTTTCATCATAACAGCCTTTATTGTGGCAAAATGCTTATGCCTATGCCCTTGATATTTTAATTTAGATTTTACACATTTTATTCTGTTGTTTTATTGTTCATTTCATTGTTTCATGAGAGCACACAGACACAAATGCATTGATATTTTTTACCATTTTAATGCATCTTTACTTTAAAACTCAAACAGGATTGGTAACAATTAAATGGCATGTGAAATCTCTCTCCGTTTTCCTACTGCTAAACAACGTTGTGCTGCAAAAATGTGACTTTTAACAAAAATGTCATAAATAACGATCAGAAACATTTTTCTCCTAACACACCAGCGACTGAATGGCTTTTAAAAAGAGAATATCAGCAGAGTCACCACTTCATTTTCTGTGAGAATGGACCTGAGAAGTAAACAAACGTGGGTTCAGTATGACACATTTGATAGTTAAGAGAAGAAGAAAAACAGAGAATATAAAGTACCTTTGATGTCAGTCATCCTCCTGCGGTTTCGAGGCAGAGTGACGTCCAGTCTCGAGGTTGAGTCAGGTGTTGACAGCACTTCCTCCAGCCTACACTGCTCCTCATTTTCCTGGTGCATCGACAGATAGCAGGTTAACAAAACCAGTTGGTCATTTTTTCAACAAAAGTGCTTCACTTTCAGAACATCTGAAATAAAAACCTGTGTTGGGGTTTGCTGGCGTTTCCTCCTGGCAGCAGGAGTGTTAGGGCCGGGGCTTTCTGTTCCACTTCTCTGCTTTTCCCTCTCTCTCTGCATGAGAATGACCTGCCGCGTGGTCCTGTACTCCAGAGAAAAGTTACTGATGGTTTTACAGAAGTCCTCTGCTTTGGTGTCTCTCACCATGGCTCGGGAGTAGCCTAGGAATAAGAGGAAAGAGTGGAACCTGGAGGAGAAACAATGGAGAGGAAAACGTTTAGGTTTACTCCATAATAAGAACTTCATTACAGCAACAATATGAAGGACAACTTTTGCCCTCAGTCTCAAGACACCACGGTAGCAACTGGACACAAGGTATGAATACAATTTTAACTTGAAAGGGTACTTTTTCAACCTTGACCCTATTTCCCCATGTTTTAGTGTCTAAGGGTGCTTTCACACCTGCCCTGTTTGGTGCGGTTCAATCGAAATCAAGATCCTTTGCCCCCTAAGTGCAGTTCGTTTGGGCAGGTGTGAACACAGCAATCACACTCAGATGTGCAGCAAAACAACCAGACCGAGACCTTCTTCAAGAGGTGATCTCGGTCCGGTTACAAACGAACTCTGGTGCGGTTTGTTTGTAGTGAACTCGATCTGAACCAACTGCAGTCACATGACACAGTGTTTGGGTTAAACATGAGCATGTTACAGTCCTGGAGGATTATTAATGTGCACCTCCTCCTGTACTGCCTTAATATGCACATTCAGCACATCCAATGCATCAAAACATTGTTTTCTAGTTGGAGCCGCGTCTCGTTTTCAAACTGTATGGTTTGACTAAAATGAACAATGACAGCGATATAGTCCACGATGACCAGTGCTAAAATCAACCTGCGTAGTTGTCCCTCCATTGTGACATTAGAAAGTGTCACATTTATCTTGCAAGTGTACTCTTCTTCAACGTTTTGTTTACTTCCTGGATTTTTCCCGCATGGAAATTCTGACCAATCAAGAGCAGCTTTCTCACACAAGGCATTTGATCTGGTCCGCTTGTAAATGCTGCCGTGAGAACACGAACCAACTCTAGGCAATTATGCAGCTTTGCAAAAAAAAGTGCCTGATTCAGACCAAAGCAAGACAACTCTAGGTCTCAAAGCACCCTAAGTGACTCATCAATCAATCAATCAATCAGTTTTATTTATAAAGCCCAATATCACAAATCACAATTTGCCTCACAGGGCTTTACAGTA